TGATAATAATCCACCAAAACAGCCCCTCTTCCACCGAGAGGGGTAGATCCAAAATTGAAGCAGGGAAAAAATAAAATGAAATAAGATAAATTGATGCAGTGCCCTTAGGGACATCCGTTAAAATTGGAACGATACAGAGAAGATTAGCATGGCTCCTGCCCGCCTGCACATTGCTGGACATCCGTTTACCTCTACAGCAGACAATGGGCCTCCCTGCACTACGCTACTAGACACATGGAAATTTTCAAGAGTTCGTCTACCGCTGTCAGACTCCTGGGGCGTGGTCCCACTAGCAAAGAGGATCAGATAGAAATCCTCAATCTGGCCATGTTGTATGCAGAGATACAGAAAAGCAGTTAGCAATTCGATCTCGATTACCTGCTCCTGTCCTCGAACACGTCCAGATTCAGGCATTCAATCCGATGCTCTCTTGCTAATGGGACCACGGCCCTGGATTGGCATCAAGTGCTGTCGTCGCTGCACTTACTCCGGACTCTCGACTCTCGTGAGCATTCTCGACAGGGCAGCGACTATTTGTCCCCCACGGAGACCGGAGGCCAACTCTCGAATTTGCAAACCGCATGAAGGGACCCGTCGGCCTCGTTTGAAAAAACCGTTCCTGCAGGTGGGAACTGTGAAAACTTCAAGAGCTCTTCCAATGGGCCATGTCTGAAACCTCTTGAAGCGCCGAACCAAGAGCAGTTTTCCAGAGTTAGTGCAGAAACGACTCACTCTCGAAAACGTCGAGAGTGAGGGCGTCGCTGCACTACTCCTGAAATGCACAAAAGACCAAAATGATGGCCGTGTATCTTTGCATATTCTAGCGGAAGATTCACTCTCGTTTTGCACATTTCGAGAGTAGTGCAGCGAGGCCCTGAATCTGACAGCTCTTGAATAGAAATACAGGACAGGACGCGGCATCAAGAGTTAGTGCAGCACAGCGGTGATGAAGTCTTGATTTTTCAAGATTTCAAGAGTAGTGCAGCAAGGCCCAATGAGGCACATTGAGGTACACTGAAGTACATTGAGCAGATCTGTTCCACATGGTCCTTGAAATCCTTCTAGCATAGCTTCCTGCTTTTTTTTTTTTTTTTTTTCAGGGCCTTGCTGGCCTATTTGAACAGTAGGCAGTAGAGTTTAGGTCCTTCCTCCTCCTCCTTTTCCGATTCACTGCTTTCTCAGTAGGTAGAGTCGTTGGCTGTCATTTTTTGTTGTTCTCGTTTCTTTTCTCTCTCCCCTTTCTGATCAGCTTCCTGTTAAGGAACAGTTACTTTGGATTATTAGGAGTGTTGGCTTCTGACGACCCTTTCTTTTTTTCCTTTTTTTAAAGGTTTGTTTAGCTTTTTTTGACCTCGTTGTCCTTTTCTTTTTTTTTTCTTTTTTTCTTTTTTTTTCTTTTTTTCCGGTCATTCCTGTCCCTTGCGTCTGTCTGAGACCCAACGCCTGTTTACTGGTCACCTTACCTTTGCCCGGGGTTGCATTGTTGAGGGATTGCCGGCCTCAGCTTGTTCTCCAAAGTGGATAATATGAAGCCCTGAGGGGGACTTTTATTGGGGGGAAAAATAAAAAATAAAAAAAATTGAGCTCATCCAACATTCAAGCCATACTCGTATATAACTGTACGACTTCACCCGAATAGAACGCCCTGTCACTAGAGCTGTATCTGGTCAGCTTGCCGTCTAGATACGGACATAAAAGGCAGCAGTTACACCAAAAAAAAAAAAGAAAAAGAAGCAGCAGTTTTATTCGAGTGGAGAGAGTCTTCGGGTCTACTGTCTTCACCCGAATAGAACGCCCAGTCATTAGAGCTGTATCTGATCAACTTTCAGTCTAGATACGGACATAATGAACAGCAGTTCAAAACAAAACAAAACAGGAAAAAAAAAAGAGCAGCAGTTCTATTCGGGTGGAGACGGTAGTTCCCACCTCTCACCATCCATCGGCCAACATTTTGAATGCATCAGGACAGATTTCATGTTCAGATTCATTCAAAGTGTTTGCGGGCGGCGATTGATGGAACTACAATCTTCACCCGAACACAATAAAACGCCCAGTCAATATTGCTGTATCTAAACTGAAAATAGGCCCAAATACAGCTATGATGACCAGGCGATTGACTGATTAATCAAGCTGTTGGATGATTTGATCTTCAAGTTCTGTCTTTAGAGATTTATATTTCTGCGCCTCGCTGAGCCACTGGTTGAACACCAACACAAAAAATGTATCCGGACGGGAAGTTCTCCAGGTGCATTCAACACGTCGAACGATTTGCCGACGGATGCTGCTACTCAACTTCTCCCTTGATTAGTCACAACAGATTCCATCTTGCCGTCCAGGTGCATTGAACACGTCGTACAGGTCGAAGTTCATTGATTGGCTGATTGATTGGTTAGTTTAATTAGATTGGTAGATTGATTGATTGGTAGATTGATTGATTGGTTGTTTGATTGGTTGATTTAGGTGAGGATTGCTTGATTTCGAAGCGAACTGGTTGATTATGATTGATTGCTTGATTGATCCGTCGATTCACCGGTGAATCGCATCACCATCAGACTGACTGGGAGACTGATTGGTTGATTGATTTGCTGATTTGTTCATTTGATCGAGTGCTGGATTGATTGGTTGGTTGCTCTGTGGTTGATTGATCAATGAATCACATAAATCTATTTTGATAGGTTGGTTGGTTGATTGGTTGATGTACCCATTTTTATTCTCACGATCATAGATGATTATTGATTGATTGATTATTTGGTTGGTTAATTGCTCGATTGATTGATTGATTATTGATTGATTGATTATTTGGTTGGTTAATTGCTCGATTGATTGATTGATTGATTGATTAATTGATTATTTGGTTGGTTAATTGCTCGATTGATTGATTGATGAATCGCATCTATATAGACATTGGTACATTGACTTTGGCTGATTGATTCGTTGGTTGGTCGAACTGGTTGATTTTGTATCCATTTTTATTCTCATGGTTCGTTGATTTGATTGCTCAGTTAAATTGAATTAATCACATTATCAATTGATTGATTGGTTGATTGATTGGCTGGCTGATTGGTTGATTGCTTTGATTGATTCGTTGGCTGGGATTAGAGGCTCTCCAGTGGAGAGCAGTTCCAATCATCAAATCCCTGATCACTCGGATTCAAGACTCGCTTGATTGCTTGTTTGCTGAATTGATTGGTTTATGCATTTTTGGCTACATAGATACTTTTGCTTTTTTCATTCGATTTTTCGTTTGCTCGTCAATAAAATTGATTGCTCGATCAAACATGTAAGTCCATATTTCGATTGCTTGCTTTGCCAGCTCGATTGGCCGATTAATTAATTAACGATTTCCTCGCTCGACTTCGCATTCTGCTTGCTTGCTTGATTGTTTGATTGATTGATTGCTTGCTTGATTGATCGATTGCTCCATCGCTTGCTTGATTGATCGATTGCTCCATCAAACATGTAAGTTGATATTTCGATTGCTTGCTTTGCCAGCTCGATTGGTCGATTAATTAATTAACAAATTCCTCGCTCTACTTTGCATTCTGCTTGCTTGAATGATTGCTTGATTGCCTTGATTGCTTGATCGATTGCTCGATCACACATGCAAGTTGATATTTCGATTGCTTGCTTTGCCAGCTCGATTTGTCGATTAATTAATTAACAAATTCCTCGCTCGACTTTGCATTCTGCTTGCTTGCTTGATCGTTTGATCGATTGCTTGCTTGCTTGATTGATTGATTGATTGTTTGATCGATTGCTTGCTTGCTTGATTGATCGATTGATCGATCGATAAGTCAATAGCTTAATTGCTTCGCTTTGCTAGGTTGATTGATCGATTGATTGGCGCATTCAATTTTCATCGAGATGATATTTGACTAGTGAAAGTGAAAAGTTCGTGATCTAATCGATTTTGGTCGATTACTCTTCGCTTGCTTGTTTGACCGGTTGATTAATGATGGATTAAGGATTGATTGATTGATTGATCTGACTGCTCTGACTGCTCTGACTGATGGTTATGTCAATGTTGATTGCTTGATTGCTCACTTTGGTAGCTTAATTAGTCGATTGATTGGAGCATCCACTCTCGGCATTTAAAACTTTCAGAAAAACTCAAAATCTGATTTTTGCTATATTCTAGTAATAAAGCAAAAACTTCCAGAAAAAATAAAATTTGATTGATTGGTAAAATTGATTGCTCCACAGCTCGCCTTGCTTGCTTGCTTATTTGATTCATCGATTGATTGATTGATTGATTCATCGATTCATTGATTGATTCGATGCAGTAGAGTACCTCGAATGACCCTTTTTTTTTTTCCCCTTCATCTCAAAAGACGGGAGTCAAATCCATCAAAACAATACAAATACAATAAAAAATAGCAAATGCAATAATCGCAAATACAACAATAGCAAATACTGACATTTAGGACACGAGGTTTTTTTTTTTCTTTCATACTAAATTTAATCTTAACCAAAATTGGAACTCGAGAACAGCTAATAAAGAAAATTCACGAGTCGTTTTCTATCTTTGTCACTGAATCATCGATCAATCAGCAAAAGCGTATCTTTCAGAAGATTGGACAACGAAACACGGGCGAAAGAAATAAAAAATAAAACAATTCTTATTGAATCCAGACAAACACGGCGACCAGGGGGGAGGGAAAGGTGTTGGAAGGAGGGGGGGGGGTGGGATCAAACAAACAGGTATTCTATTCCGATCAGTTTACCCGTGTACCGTGGTCAATCGGACCACATCCACAAAAAATAAAAAAAAAAGTGAGCTCGACTCGCGAGAGAAAGGGTCACCCAGGTTAACGCCCCACCCATCCAAACACCGAAAAAATCACTAATTAGGAAATTTCAGAAGGGAAAAAGGAGAGCAAGAAGAAAATATCACTAATTAGGAAATTTCAGAGGGGAAAAAGAAAGGAGAAGAAGAAGAAAAGCGAAGGAAGACACACAAAAGATTTGCAATTTAAAAAAAAAAAAAAAACTGGAAATAACTCTAAGTCGCACTTTTGTTTTCCCTGGAAAATAATGTCGAATTTGGCCCTACGGCCAGTCTGATTTTTATTCGTGAAGGAAAAAAAAAATTGCACGTATGTACGTGATAGAAAATGAAAAAAAAAAAATTAAAATGCGCACACTCAGCTGCTATAGCTAATCCCGCGTGGCCAGCCCACGCTCTCTATCGACGACAGATTGTACAGTTCCTCTCTCTCTCTCTCTCTCTCTCTCTCTCTGATCTACCGAAATTCTCACGAGCTCGGACTCCTTTTTTTTTTTTTTTTTTTCACCGAGAAGCACATGTTGTCGGTGTCACCCTTGTGAATCCAACTACTGCTGCTGGTTTCTCGAAAAATATTCTCGAAAAATTCTCGAAAGAAAATCGAGAAAGGATCCCGAAAAAGTTATCGGCAAACAACTCTCGTAAAGAATTCTCACGGAGTCGTGGGGGTGATGATCCTGAGGCTCCTCGTCTTTTGCACCGAGAAAAGAAGAAGACAGAGAGAAAAGGGAGAAAAGAGACGAGAGAATCCTTCTTCCCTCTCTCGCATTCTCTCTCGCTCTCTCTGTCTCCGTCTCTCCCTCTCACTGGAAACAACTACATGCTCTATCCACACACATCTCTCTCTCTCTCTCTCTCTCTCTCTCTCTCTCTCTCTCTCTCTCTCTAACAAAGGTCCACCACCCTAAAAATGAGGGGGAAGGACGCTCTTTGGCCCATGGGAAAACTACAGATCCCAAGCAAAACGGACTTTAATGGTTGGCTGGGAGGTGGGGAGGTGGGGAGGTGGGCGGGGGGTGGGGGGTTGGTGGAGGGGGAGGTGGGAAGGAATGTATTCATAAAAGTGGGTTGGGTTCAGAAAGAAGAAGGGGGCGCAAACGTGCGCCTTCGCAAATGGAAATCCAATCCCTATCCCGACCAACGAGCATTCCCTCCTCAACCCGATATGTCACAACACTATACAAACCCCCCTTCTCAGTCGCAATCGGGAATCGGGATATGGACCATCGTGTTTGAGGCTGCGCAACCTCCTCCCTCAGAAACGCCATGCACACAACGTTGTCACTTTCTCGTTCTCCCTTTTCTCCCTCCGCTCAGCGGCAAGCTCGCACAGTGGTCGCTCAGAGACAGCTCTTGGGAGGACGATCAGCAGGTCACCAGGTGGGGCGAGAACGTCGTGGAATGTCACACCACGCAGATAATCCGTCTTCTCCATGCCGTCGTCGAGCGCTGCTCCTCTCCTCTTTCTAGTATGCTGCTGTCACACTTTCTCAACACTTTATATACATCAACCGCGCTTCTCGTAGCCCGTAGTCAACACGGTAAATTCAATGAATCTGGCACCCGCCAGCTGGAATACGAGAGACAGCGACCCTTTCCACACACACTCTTCGTTTCCTCTCCTTTGTACAAAACCCAGAACAACTTCTCCACGGTTCCTCTCTCTCTCTCTCTCTCTCTCTCATACACACGGAGATATGCACCACCTGCGCAGCCCGCGACCTGCTCACCTCCTCTCCATCATATATGCTCGAGCACGGCTTGATCCGATGTCTCTCTCTCTCTCTCTCTCTCTCTCTCTCTCTCTCTCTCTGTGTATCGCGAGCATTGTCGATTGCAGTTTTTCAGCGTGTTTACTGAAAAATATTCGTCAGTACCTCCAGCATCGCGACCTCTCTCTCTCTCTCTCTCTCTCACACACACACACACACACACTCTCTCTCTCTCTCTCACACACACACACAAATGCTCACCTCCTGCTCTTGGCCATTTCGCTTGTCCTCCTCGGCTTCCTAGTCCTGGCATCTGCTCTCGAAAGTAGTGTAGCGAACGAGAAACTGTTTGAATCTGTTCGTGTTTCGCCTTGATCTGCTACAGACTTCTCTCCATGCTATTCTCTCCTCTCCCTCTCTCTCATCTCTTCCGCAATTCTCTCTTGACAGTACTACGGTTCCTCTCATGAAAGAAAGAACTCGAAAGAAAGAATTCACTAGAAAGAGAATTCACTTGAAAGAGAATTCACTAGAAAGAGACTCACTAGAAAGAATTCCCTTCACTTCTGGTCAAGCAGTCACAATCTCGCTAATCGTTTTCTCCTCGCTGGGCCCTCTGCAATACACAGAACAGCCGCTAGCAATATCACCTCGCCGCCGTGTCTTACCTCTTCTCTCTTTCCCTCTTCTCTCTTTCTCTCTTTCTCACGCACACAAGTACCAAAAGAATTTTCGACCAAAATTGTTTTCTCTCCTGCTCTGCTGCCCACTCTAGCTGTCTTCCTATTTTCCTCCTTCCATCATATTTATATATATATATATATATATATTCGATGATAATGACGCATATGTCTTCAACCTCCTCCGACAGAAGAGCTCTACGTCATCCTCACATCTTACTACTGCCTTTGCCTCTCGCCAACTGGATTCATCAGCGCGCAGCGCAGCGGAGCGGCAGTAGCAGTCCTCTTACAACGCTACATGCCACGAACGAAAGCTTCGCGGGCACGAAACTTTACTACGGCCTCTGCCTCTCGCCGACTGGATTCATCGGCGCGCAGCGCAGCGGCAGTAGCAGTCATCTTCCGACATAACCGGACATGCCACAAAGCCCCCCCTTCCTTTGCATAACAGAGAGGGACATCTCTTCTCCTCCCCCTGCTCATCGTCCTCCTCGTCCTTCTCCTGCTTGTCCTCGGTTGTTCTGTTCAGGCTTCTCACAATATACGACTAGAATAACGTGCGTGCCCTTTCTCTTGTCATCGTTTCTCGCTCAAGTCGGAGCTGTTGTCGCTCATACACGCTTACCAAGTCTCTCTTTCTCTCTCTCTCTCTCGATCACAACGCCATAGCCATTGCCATCGCCTTCGTCACAAGGCTGATGAATGGATTGCAGACGAAGACCTCATCGTCGTCGACAATTTCCCCGTCGTTCCATTCGCACGATTGCAGCCGCTATGCCGGTCATATACCTTCGGCTCCTTCTGCTGTTGCTTCCACTCCACCAATCGCCGGAGGAAATCGTTCACTTCTGATGTATCCTGAAGAGAGAAGACAGCACGTGTGCTCTTGGCCACGCTGGACACGAGTATGCCATAGCCATTGCCTCTCTCATTGAGAACATCGAACGCGTCTTCGTCCGTACGATCATCGCCGATGTACAGTGGCACAACGTCGTCCAAACCTAGCGCATCCAAGAGATAGGCCACCGCCTTCCCCTTGTCCCACGCCAGCTCCGGACGAATCTCCAGCACCTTCCTGCCGTGAGAGAGTCGCAGACCAGGGTAATCCTGCACCACGTCTTTGACGATCTTGGCCAACCTCTCCCACTTCTGTTCATCCACTCGGCGGAAGTGGACCGATACACAGAACTTGTTGTTCTCGACGCTGGTGCCAGGAATAGAAGCAGCGCGGTCACGAATCTTCGTGGAAACTTCGTCGATGATCGGGACGAATTCTTTCGCCGGCTGGAGGTACACTCGCTCTTCCATCTGCTGCCTCTTCTTCTCCTCCTCCTCCTCCCACACTTCCTCCTCTGTCTTCCAGCACCCGGCTTGCTTTCCGCCATCGTAGCCGCGGGGGGTCGGCCTGCCGGAGCTCCGCGCCTCCGCCGACTTCTCCGCATGCTTCTCCGCCGCCGACGATCGCAGACGCTGCGGAAGCGAATCGCGCGGAGGCGGGCCCATGATGTCAAGACCATGGCTGCCGGCGTAATAAAGCTCAGCCAGCTGAACGAAATCGTACACCTTCTCCCTCCCTCTCCCACTAATGATAGCAGTGGGGAAGAGCGCCGCGACGCTCTTCACCGCCTCGCGCATCCCGTCCGACATGAACGCCCTGTCGGGATCTGCGACAATAGGAGACAGAGTGCCATCGTAGTCGAGGAACACAGCCACTTGCTTGCCCTCAGCCGCGCGGGCAAATTTGTCAAAACTTTCCAATGCCGACGGATGCTTCGTCTTCCACGCGCGGTATTGCGCCGCCATGGCTTCTTCTCCGTAGAGATCCGCGCCGCAACCCTCCAGCTCGGCGGAACGAGGCGGAGAAGCGGCGCGCATGGCATCGAACACATCAATCACGGCGGGCGGCACGTTTAACATAGGGCACTCAGACGCCCGAAGCGTCAGAACAGGAGCCGGACGCATCCCCATCACGACACGTGTACAAAATCCCGCGATCGATCGATTTCGAGAACAATCAATCAATCAATCAGTCAATCAGCAACAGAAGAGGTCGATCACTAATCACCAGTATATATATCGTCAAACAGAACTACCCGGTAAACCGTAGGCAGAGAGGGAGAAGAGGACAACAAACGAGGGGCTGTCACAAATAGGAGTGACTTTGGTCAACCTTAATTTAATCCTCTTCCTGCTCTTCGTCCTCCTCCTCCCGTCCCTGCTCTGCTTCACCTGCGCGTTAAAATTTTGGACTTAAGGAGAGAAGACTGAATAACAGCAGATGAAGCCCAACGTAGGAATGATCGGCGCCTGATGCAATGGGAAGAACCGACGACAGAATGCTTTTTGACAAGATGAACCTGATCGCAATCACGGCCAGAAACGGAAAGGGATGGCGGAGGATGACCGATATACAGAGTAGATGGACTGTATAAAGATAGTGTGTTTGTGTATAATAGAGACTCTTGACCTGACTGATTGCCACGTATGCTGAGAGAGAAACCAGAGATGACCAGCGTGACAGAGAAACCGGTAGATTGAAGCCCTTCACACGCACGCAAAGCATACCCGCCTCTTCTTCTTTTTCCAACCCTCCCCTCACAGACCTTTCTTAAGGCCAGACGCAGCCAGGAGACCTCTCTCTCTCTCTCTCTCTCTCTCTCTCTCTCTCTCTCTCTCTCTCTCTCTCTCTCACACACACACACACACACACACACACACACACACACAAACACAAACACAACTGAGCGATGGCTATTCTGTCCGTCGATCACGCACGGCCAATGCTCGTGCTCTCTGTCACTCACTATCTCCCCCGACCAACCAACAACCACACAGAGTGATGCTGATTCTGTTCGTCTCTCTCTCTCTCTCTCTCTCTCTCTCTCTCTCTCTCTCTCTGTTTCTCCCACACACACACACAACTGAGCGATGGCGATTCTGTCCGTCGATCACGCACGGCCAATGCTCGTGCTCTCTCTCACTGTCTCTCCCCACGAACCAACTACCACACAGGGTGACGGTGACTCTCTCTCTCTCTCTCTCTCTCTCTCTCTCTCTCTCTGTGTTTACGTATCGAAGAAGACAGGGCGCAGAGAAGCAGCCAAATGCGTCCTCGGATAATCCGACTTATCCAACTTATATAGCAGCGAACCCCCCCAACGAGAAGCTCTTTAGTGCAGCGCCCAACCACGCCGCGATCCCCCTCCACCGCCCTCTCGATTCTCTCCTCTGCTTACCTCCTCTCATCAGCTCCTCTCATCCATCAATCAAATCTAACGACCGGGACGACCGACGACAGCGCAGGAGATTGGAGAAGGCAGGAGACGGACTGGCGCAGGGACAAGCACGAGATACTACTCCCGCCTCTGCGTACCCGTTTTAGTACACAACCCGCGTGCGCTCTACCGCTCTACCGCTCTAGCAGTGCACGCACGATCTGCCCCTCCTCCCTCTCTCTCACGCACTGGAACGATGAGCGTGGAGTTTTTATCAAATGTGAACAAGTGGAGCGAAGTGCATCGGCGCAGCGGTCGTTGTAAAAATACGAACTCGCAGCGAACTCCCCACCAATAGAAAGGAGCAGATGTTGAGCAAAAAAAAAAAGAAAAAAGGAAAAAAAAACGAACTCGCAGCAAGCGTAGGGCCTCGCTCTACTACCCGCCACATGCACCGAAAAAGAAAAAGGAAAAATGACTCGGTATCTTTCCAGGTTCTGGGGCAAGATTCAGTCTCATTTCGCGAATTCGCACAATTTTGGAGAGTAGTGGCGGGAGGCCCGTGCATCGCAGTGAAGTGAGGGCGCGGTGGAGTTGCACCAACTTTTTTTTTTTTTTTTTTTTTTTTTTTTTTTAAGTTGCACCACTTTCTACTACGGCGGCGCTGCGCGTGATCATTGTCAGCAAGATTCATCAAGGTCGGTCTGGGTATTACGCACGGTGGGACTTGAGTGGATGCATGTGACCGCTTTTCCGACCCGAGAAGGATGTACCCGACCGCAATTACGTCCAATCGAATAGGCAAAAGGAAGGTCCTGCTGTGAGTATGCCCTCGTTGCGGCGAAAAGATATCTCGACATCTCATTTGAAAGCACCTGAAAAAAAATAAAAAGTAGAAAAAAAACTGAAAGCAGCAGCCCATTACCTCCCCCCCTCCGAAAAAAATAAAATAAAAATTTACCTCCCCCCCTCCGAAAATAAAAATTTACCTCCCCCCCGCCCAATGGGCGATGGCAGGCCGCGGCGAGAAGATGTGCGATGGACCGGGGGACGTTGTGCCGTACACAGCGCCCACGCGCTACGGTCGGGAACCCGCTGGTCCCATGCCGCTAGACTCATCAGCCTCGGTCAGCCCTATGGGCCTAGAGGAGTTGCACCACTCGCCATGCGCCACCAAGATTTCAAATTTCAAATGCATCTGGAAGGTGCCGTTATCCAAATTCGTTCAAAAATGTTGGCGGACGGCGAGTGTTGAAACCTCCGTAGAGGCATCCCTCCCGCCAATCGCTAAATACGAAAAACACCAATTTCCGTTTTTCATTTTTCTCCTCTTTTTCTCTTTTTCTTCTTTTTTCCCTTCTTTATTTTCCCACCTACTGTACCCTTCAGCACCGCGCTAAGGGCCTCGTTCCACACCACTAAAAAAGTAAGGATCCTTACAAAATCATGGTTCCACCACACTCCCTAATGACAGCAACATCGAACCGTAAGCCTGTTTTCACATTCTCGGCTTTTAGGGTCCGCACTCACAAAGTAAGGGCAAAGTAAGGGCGCCCCAGGCAAAACGTCGAAAATCTCTAGGGAGCCTCGGGAGGTGACTAGAAAAGTAAGGGTGCGAGGCCGCGAAGCGCGTTTTTCACGGAGAATGTTTTTTCAGTTTAGTTTTCCCTCGGAAGCAGCTGTGGACCAGGCCCTTCGCCTGGGACTGGCACCGCCAACACCCGTTGCCGCGGTTTCCGAGTGCCGTTGTGGCGGTTGGGCGGGGGAGTGCATTGTTCTGGGAGTGGCAGGGGCCGCATGGCCGTTGGCGGTGGTTCGAATTCGAAATATGCACATGGCAGCGCCCGTCCCTGCCAACGGCCACAATGATGGAAGTCGCTTCGCGACGCGAGCAGGACACAAAGCTTCGTTACATGGCGGTGCATCCACTACAAATGGCTGGGTGTGTAGCCGAAGTCAGACACGTTGTCGTTTTGAACACTGCCGACGATTGTGCTGGTCTTCAACTATCCTCGCATGTGTGCATGGCAGACCTCATCAGGAAGACTGTGCTGTTGGCATTCGTCCTACTCGCTTTGCTCATTGTCATCCTGCTGCAACTGTGGCAGTTGTTGAGGCACAGCAGGGCTCCTCCGCGAAAGAAGGCAACGAAGAAGGAGGGCAGAGGAGCGAGGGCGAGGAAGGTGATGGGTGACGACAGGCTTCCTGAGGGGCAGATGTACGGGATTGGGCCGGGGGTGCACACCGGGCTTCCTCGCGCAACGCGTCACCGAATCGATCCTGCGTTATACGTCCATCTGCCTTCTTACATGCAGCCTTTGTCGGATGATGACGGATGGGTGCCACCCCCTTCAGCCCTTCCTCTCGCGTGGGGGTCGACACAAACCTCTTACGAAAGCGCCCCTCGTTCGGATGACCGTGGCGCTGGGATGGGTCCGATGTCCTCCCTCATGGCGGATCCGACGGGTGGTCGCCCGGATCCTCTGCAACTGCATTTGTCGCCGACGTGCACAATGGATGCCTCCACAACTGTTCTCGTTGAGCATAGCACTCGTTCGCAAGGTGGGGTGTCCGTCACAATGCACGACGAGCGCGAAGTCGGGCAAGCGGCAGAGCGGCCGCCGATGTCATCGTACGGGTGCGGGGGCAACTGTGGCGTGCTGCCGTCATCGTCAGCTGCGGTGCGCTCACCTCTTCCTCGCACTCGTCCTGTAGGAAGGGTGACGACAGCGACTGCGGCGGAGTCCCCCCAGGTGATAGAGAGGATCATACCGCGGTACTCAAGGATGCGTACCGACGTTCAAGCTGCTAACTGAGGTGACGAGGACGAGGAAGAGGAGGATGTACCGGAGGAGGACTTAATGGACGACGAGGACAAAAGTGAGGATGATGATGACGCTGCGGTGAAGGAGGTCACACAAAAGACCGCGAAGAAGAGGACAACGAAGAATCATCGGAAGTCCAAGGCGAGAGATGGAGGCCCTGGTGATGGCGAGGAGGGGGGGGAAGAAACACAAAGAACTGGGGTTTGGACGATTCACTCGTCCCGGTCCATTGTAAAAGGGACCAGGACGATTACATAGCAGGCTAGGGGAGGGACTTCGCGCGAATGAAGACGAAGACTTGGAAATGGAACGACATAGCAAAGCGAATGGCCCAACAAGGGGTTACGAATAGAGATGGAGAGTCGTGCATGAAAAGGTGGGAGAACATCTTCGGGTGGTACAGGAAAGTCTTGGACAGGGAGAAAGATTCCGGCCTGCATTTTTTCTTCCTCTTGACAGCGAAGAAACGAAAAGAGCTGGGGTATGAGTTTGCGATGGATCGACAGCTGTACGACGCTATTCACGCGACGACGCTATTCACGTGACGACGCTATTCACGCGACGACGCCGAACAATCAGGCCATACACCCACCTAATCTGCATGACACAGGCGGACTTCATCCCCAACAATCGAATGACGGAGAGGAGAGCCAAGCAAGAGGTCCGACAACTGCCGGGGAAACTTCCGCGAACGATAATATGGAGAGGGAAACGGGGGATGGGTATGGCAGCAGGTCTTCGGGGGGCATGCCTTCGGGGAAGCGGAAGAATGCGCGGCAGCTGGCCTTCGATGTTGTGACGGACGTGATGAACACACATTCAACGGTCATGGCAGATTCAGTGGATCACGCTAGCAAGTGTCAATGCGAAGTGCTGCAACGACAATGTGACATCATGGAAAGGGAGGCGGCGACGCAGGAGAAACAATGTGAAGTGCTAGACGTCGGTCAGCGCATGCTATGCGATGCTTTGCTGAAGATAGCTTCTGCATTGTGTTGGACCTGATTGCGATTGACACGGTGGAGTGTGGAAGGGACAACGACCCAGCACAGGCCTGCCCATATCACAACCACCGATCCACGTCCTTTACCCCGCGACAAAACTGCACTTCATCTTTCTTGTGCCCCCCCGCCCCCTGAACCCCCCAAAACCCCCCTCCGCTCCCCCCATTTTTTTCACTAACCCTGAACTACCCTCACCCGCAATCTACGCCGTTTTTCCAAGCCCGCCCCTTGTCTCTTTATCCAAAGTCATCTTGTCTGTGGTACGGCCGTGCACTGGGGTGGTCAGGCACCCGTGCTGTGAGGGGAGCACGCCGTGGAACCGTGATTTGGCATCGCATTTGACGGATGTGAACGACGAGTACCGGCGGTTTTCGAATATAAGTCGATGATCTGCAGTGATGTGAACAGTGAACGACGTGACTCCCTCGATGAGTGCGCGTGAGAGGCGCTGCAGATTGTGCGTTGTCCGGAGTGCACGAGGAGCGAGGGGTGGGACGGCCTCTTGTAGTGCGGTGTGTGGAGTGCGCATGGGACACAGGCGTGGGAACTTCTATGGCAGGGACTTCGGTTTCGAGAACGGGGTGACGAAACACGGAGTCCACCATAACGAGGTCGACGCGGATAGAGACACGTGCCTCCATCTCACAATCGGGTACGGATTTGGCAAACGGCTCCTGCGACAAGTTGTCATTTTCACGCGGAAGGTAGGCACGACCATCCTCGATTGCTGGGTTGGAGGTTCGAACGTGCTGACGGACATCATCGATCTCTTGGTGTCCAATGTGGCGATGGGGTTTGAAGGTCGTCTCCATGAACCGGCGATGTACGTCGTCCACGCAGAACCGCCTTTTGTCGATCTCTCATATTTGCATGGCGAAGTGCGGATCATCGTCGACGAATTTCACTGAGCTCAACGATGGCGACCGTAGCGTGATCCCCGACAGATGTTTCCGTGCAGCAGGCTCCAACCTTTTTCGACTCTCTAATGCGGATCGACA